TTCAAAGTTGTATAGTATCGACAATTTTTTCCAACTAAAATTCATGAAAATAATCTATAAATTACGTGACAACTAGATAATTTTGATTTTGTATGGATCTTCCTTTTAAACATCTCAAGTGTGATTTCACGTTCTATCTTAATTATTTTTTTTCCCCTTCAAAAATTATACCCTCATTTTTTTCATATATTTTACCATTTGAATATAATATAACAATAATTTCATTCATCCTGCATTAAAAATAATTGATCATCATAATAATTTATAATATAACGAAATTATATTTAAAAGTTCATTTGTAATTACAAATATGTAAATATTTAATTTTTAACATTATATTTTATCTGCCTTATTTTCAAACATAACAAAAAAAATTAAATTACAACATTAACACTTAAAAATTATCATAATACAAAATAAAAATTATTCTTCAAAATAAAAAATCTTAATAGCCAATAAAAATAAAGTATATATTTGTAATGCTTAAAACCTAACCTAATTGCTATACTATTAGGGATGACAATGGGTAAAGTACCCGATGGGCACCGGCAAAATTTACCCACAATAGGTAGGGTATTTACCCGCTATACGAGTATGGATATGAGTGTAGGTAAAAACTCTCAAATTTTAATGGGGGATGGGTGCAGGTATGGGTATCTAAGTACCCACCCCGCCCCATACCCGCATATATATATATGCTTGAACTTTATTTTATAATTATGCATTGAATTTTTGTATTATTATATTACTTATGTGAAGTTATATAAGATTAATATTAAAATATATTTAATAATAAAGTAAACCAAAAAATTTATTTTAGTTTATATTTTTAATGAAAAAATTTATTTACTATTTTATATCATTTAATTAGGCTAATACAATTTAATTATTACATAGTTAATATGAGATTGACTTTTTTTAAAATATTATTTATATATAACACACATAAAATATTTTTTACACAAATATTTTTGTTAATAAAATTATATTGATGTTTAAATCATAAAGTGAATGATAAATAATAAATATATTGTAAATATTTTATAAATTTTACAATCACCTACTATTATTGTAAACTTATTATTTATTAATAATATTTAAATTTTATTTTTATATTTTAATTTAAATAATATTTTTCTATGCAACATATGTATTACAAGCACAACTATAATCTATTGAATCTAAATAATATTATTTTTACTATTTATTCACGTTCAAATAAGTTTTTGAAAAGACATAAATATAAAAAAATTATTGTTAATTTTTATTTGTTAATTTTTTCAGATAAAAAAGTATAATTTTTTTAATATACACGTATATTTCTTTATTATAAAATTTTATTGTAACTATTTATCTTTTATTCAAATTCTTTCTTTTAAAATTTATATACATTATAAATATTTAATTCATTAAAATAATTTTTCAAAAATTTCTATTTTTGATAAAATACTTTCGTATACTATATGAGTTAAAAATACTAGTATTAATTAATATATATATATATATATATATATTAATTAAATCTATTATTTTTCTTATAATTTTAAATTCAAAAGTTAAAAACAATATTATATGTATCCACTTTCTGTTATTAGTATTAAACTTCTCTACTCTAACTCTATTCTCATTCTCAATGTCTGTCTCATTAAAACCTAATAACTATGAAATATTATTTATTAGAGTTAGTTGTCAATGTCGTCACAAGAGGTCACCAAGTGATTCCACATGAAGGGACAACCATTGTACATATCTATTTCGTTGTCGCTCTAACATTACCAATCGATCAAATCTCACACAAGATAGGGTTATCACTGACAAATAACTTATGTGTTTAGTTTCGCTTATTGTTTCTAAGAATTTTAGTTTAGAAAATTATTATATTAAGATACATTTAACATTTATGATCTTTGAATATTTGTTTTTATCTATATTTGTACCTTGTTCGGCAACTACATATTAAATTTTTGTATTATTATGCTATTTAGGTGAAGTTATATAAACATATTTTTCTTTATAAATATTTTTTTCTCAAACAAGCGCGGGTAATGGGTACAAGATGGGTATGCAGGTACCCAGAGGGTACGAGTACGGAGATTAATATTCATACCCACGCGGGTATGGGACCGGATACGAGTATTTTTTTAAAACGCGGGTATGGGGATGGGTACTATAGTACCCTACCCATTGCCATCCCTATCCACTGTTGCTATTTCTTTCCTAGCTCCACAGTTGTTATTTCTTTCCCATTTCCACGGTTATTGTGGTCAGTTTTTGTATTTACAGACATTTAAATTTGGACAAAAGGATGTATCAAAATTTTTATTTAGCGGTAACATTAAAATCGGCTCCTATTGGACGACATTAGAGTCGTCTCTGATCTAGACGCTACTTAAATCGTTCCAAATATGGATGACACAAGTTTATGGCGCGACACATGTCATTATCTCATAAGTGTCAGCTTCTAATGGGATGACACTCTCATAGCTTAACATGTCATCACGTGTGTCGTCCCTGTTTTGGACGACTTTCATGCCACGTGGCCTATCCACCCCAGATCGAGAATTTGTTTCAATGCAACCTTATTTTGGTAATTTTTTTCTCAAAAAGGCAAAAAAGCCTCATGTTGAAGAGTAAGATTTTCAATAAGCATCTAAATGATGTTGATCTTTAGAATTGCAATCCATATATTGGAACTCATGTGAATCATCACCATCTCCATTCTTTATTGTATCTAACATATTAACAGGGTCTTTGTTAAGAGGCTTATCATAAGGTACCACCCTACCTATATTGGTCCAATTCTGTTGGTAATTAAGCCTTATGAGCTCTTGTATAGAATTACTACCTTTGGAATTCCTATTAATTTCCTGCTAAAATTGATTCATTAAAAAATAGATATCTGTTTTAGTAAAATTTTCAGGATTTTGGTCCCCATCTTCACCTCTTCCTAAGTCCTCAGCTTGGGGGTACTTAGTTTTTCTCCCTCTATCCTATCCTATTTTGGAACAATTTTTCTTTACTAGACTTTTTGGATATGCTACCTAGCTTAGAACCCACTATATTTTTAGTGTTACTTTTCAAGGTTCGATAGTTGTTGTTTTGGTTGAGGGAACCCTGGCTATTATTTTTTAATTTGGGGAGGACAAGTTCAAAGTGACCTTCTACATAGGGGTCAGTTTGAGAATTTTCCAACTTAAGATTATCATAAATATCTTCCTTATGTAGGACATTAATAGTGTTATTCAAAACATCAAATCTAGATCCTGTAGGAGATTCCTTACCTCTCCTATATAGACTGGAATTGTTAGTGTTCGTAAATTGCCCATCTTTTTTCCTAATAGGCTTTTTAGCTAACATCTATGGACCAATTTTGCTCTGGTCCTTTATTTGACTATCCTCATGTTCTGTCTAACTACTAACCTTGGATTAGCTTACTTGTTTATTATGTTCAGTCTCTTCCCTAATCCCAGAATGGCTAGTTGACTGATCTATGACCATATTCTATTGACCTGGCTTAGTATTCTCATTACAAATTTCAACCCTATGCCCATATTTTTCATAGTGAAAACATATCAAATGAAAACTCTCATATTCCACTTTAAATTCCTGGCCAAGGGCTCTAAAAGATGGCACTAATTTCCTATTTAGGTCTAATTCTACATAGATCCTAGCAAACTTACCTCTAGATATTAGGGAAGTGTGAGGATCTATTTTTAACATAGAACCTAAGCAAAGACCTAACCTGCCAGAGGAATTTTTCATTATAAAATTCTAGGGAAAGATTAGGGACACGCACCCAAACTGCTATTTTCCTAAGGCTATAATTTTGGGGCCTAAATAAAGGCCTCCATCTTTGAACTATAAGATAGTGGTCCAAGATTAGTCAAGGACTCTCAAAAAGGGCAATTTTATAATCTTCAAGATTTTCAAATTTAACTAGAAAAAAATCATTATTTAGATCTAAGATTTTTAGGTTACCATTCTTGCCCCAAATATTGTTCAACTTTTGATTAAGGAAATTAAAACTAATATTTTTCCCTAACAGTTTCACAATCAGAGTAAATTTTCATGGATTGTACCAAAGTTCATAATCTTCTAGGTGTATTTTAATTTCTGGGCAGAGGTTCTGAGCCTCATGCGCCTCTATTTCTTGATTATCTAAATCTTGAAGAATATTTAAGTCTTCTAAAACTGATTTTAAAATCTCAGCATCATTAAAACCTAGATCTATATCATAACCAGCCATAACCTTTTCTTTGTAAAATATGCAAGATGGAGATTTAGGAAAAGATGACACCTGATTTCCAAACTCTTGGTCTTGATTCTTTTCTTTACAAAGTAGTTCGACCATATCCATAGTGTTTTCTACATTTATTTTAACCTTTTTTGTGTTCTTTGCCATCAGATCTACTTCTTCCTTAGACTATGTCTCCTTATCAAGCAGATCCATTTTCCTTCCCTACCCTCGATTTAGTTCAACATATATATTATAAAATATACTTAGATTTTATATTTTTTAAAACTATAATTTAACTACAGAGAATATTATGATTAACATATTATGCTCGTAGATAAATTATCTTATCCCGTATATTATTAGAACTTAATTGAGTTAAGTCTAAATCTTAATAAATTACCCTATTAAAATTTGAAGTCAAATAAAAATAAAAATAAATGTCGGAAATAAGCTATAATACCTCTCACGTAGACAATATCCATATATCTTGTGTTTTAGACATTAGTTGTGTTAAAAATATCTCTGTCGTGACCAGTGAATTCTATGTTGGATATTAGTCCTTTCAAAATTAAGTTTTTACAGTCCTTAATTTAAATTTATTAGTCCTTTGTTAGTAGTCCTTACCGTTCCCACCTAAAAAGGCAGAATCCTAAGTGGCAATCAATCGAATGATTTCAGCTCTCTGTTTTCTAATTTGATTAGCTCAAATTCAATTCATTTCTTTTAATTGAGAGCTGAAGGAATCAGCACACAGATAGGACAACAACATTCTTTCACATACATTGTCAGTTGAATGTAATCATTCATATATATGGCAGCCTAGCTATATTATGATTCAATCATCCGTATCTGAACTAAATTCTGAATCTGCATCAGCTTGCAACTCAAAAGGTCTCATCCTATTTGTATTGGCTTCCAATGGAGGTAGCCCATCATCATCGCTGGCGTCCATCTCATTCTCTTGTTGGGCAGTAGTTCTTTCATATGAATCATCTACCATTGCAGACTTAAAATTTTCAAGCCTGTATGGAAGAAATGATTGGAAAAAAGTGAATATTTGATACCTTGGATATGGAGATGCGATCATATATCCAAGTTCGATATAGAAACTGAATATATGATTACTTAAGGGAACCCAAAGCAAGTAAATATAATATAAATCAAAGCTAGAAACAATAACACACCAATCCGGAGATTTCTGTAGTGCTCGAACTTGTTCAAAGAAAAGAACTTGAGAAACAAGACAAGCAACCTTGCTACCCGATTCAAGGGCTTTTTCCTTTCCACTTTCATCAATAACAACGAAGCTCCCTGCACCATTGAGAAAATAATTTTCAAAATGATGCTCAGTTCAATTCAATTCTTTGGCAGATGGGTTGGAGTAACATAAAATATAAATGAATAGACGGTTTCTTTAGCCAATTCCCTGATCAGATCATGCAAATAACACAATCAATTTTCAAGCAGTACACACAACAATTATGTTCAAGTTTGATGATCACAGATTGTTTGACAAAACAGTTTGGTAGAGTTGACATGGCTTCTAAATAAATATTTTCATAACCTATATCAACAAATTCATAATTAGCTAAGAATTTTCTAATTTGTGAAGAACGAAGCAGAGCAGAGGTTTGAGTGAAAAAAGCTAGCTAGCTTTCACTATAAGCTCAGATAGAAAATCAACAATGGTAACACTGAATCATTTGGTCACCTGGACAAAGACATAATACCATTTTCAGTAAAGCATTTAGTTTTTTGTTTTCAAAAAGTAGCAAATAGAAAATAACATATATTAACATTTAAATTAAAACAAGAAGTATTGACGTGCATTTTAAATAGGACAAACCTCGTTTAATCCACATGCTTTTCTGAAATTTAGCAGGGAATAGAGCTAAGGATTTCTCACCACAGGCATCCATGACCTGCAGACATAAAAAATGGAAACATAAATAAGAAGCTATATACACAAGTAACACAGTCCCTGTTGCAAAAAGGAATATGCTGTTTACATTAAGTAACCTAATTTTAACAGAATTAGCATAGTCTTGTTTTCATTTTCCATCTCTACTTTTTCTGAAATTTAGCAATAGAGATATTGATTTCTTACCACATGCATCCATAACCTTCAGACATCACTATGGAAACACAGTAATGGGTTGTTTAATTAAATAGCCAAATTTTATTTTATTTTTTTCATGCCTTTAAAACAACCACTATATTTTTCTCCCAGTACATTTTTTTGTTCTATTTTCTTTCTTGGAAGCTGATAAAAACACTGGCAATCCTTGCAATATCATTGGAAACAATTTGCTTTTTAAGTAATCAAAAGTACCAAACTACCAATTTTTTGTTTACTACTAGGGTAGCACTTAAAACCATTGTAATGTAATTTTACTCTTCTTTAGTAGATGCAAACTTTCAAAAAATATTCATTGATTTATATCTCTATTGAAATTTGCAAGCTTCACCTCAGTTGTCTTGTCATATTTCTCAGTACAAAATAAAAGGGCAAAGATGGAAGGCATAGAACTAGGAAAGCAGTACCTCAATGAGATTGGAGCCTCGAAGAGACACCACCTGCATGATGCTTTGCCCATCTTGCAGGGTTACATGTTTTTCCTCTGTTGCCCTCTTCAAATTCTTCCTTCCACCTCTCATGGCCACCTGAAACCCTAATTTTCTAGTTGTCAAGGTTTCTCGCTGAACTCTGCATATCACCATTCACAAATGGCAGCTTAACAGACTAACCAAGAAAAGATAAACAGACAGAAAGATAGAGGAAAATGTGCTAAATCAATATTATATATTCCATTCAACCATGCATGTTCAGAAGCATCTATAAGCTTAGGTTTCAAATGGCAGTACATTATTTCAACCATCAAAAGGGATAAAAGACTTAAAGCCGAAGCCCCAGTGATACAATAAGATTCACATCCATCAAAAGGGATAAAAGACTTAAAGCTGAAGCCCCAGTGATACAATAAAATTCACATCAAAATAATGTACCGACAGCAACACTTCCAACAAAAAACTTTGATAGAGCGCCATTAGATTCAGGTGGCGTGCCCAAACTAGGAGCTGAGGCAACACCTGGTTTTGATGCAGTTGACAATTTCTTTCGTGAAGCTAGATGTGAAGGTGTCTGCAGAATTATGTAATGCAGAGAAGGGTAACATACGAAGCCAAATTGGAAATGAGTATTACCAAATCAACAACCTATATAGTTCCCACATATATAATTAGTTTAGTAAATTGCATAAATTGTATTTTTACATCAAGAACAAGTGTTTAAACAACACCTCATCAAATTAGTACAATAGCAACAAGAGTGGTATTGGCAATTTGGCATCAGTGTTGAGGTATATCAGTAAATAAATTCAATGACCATGATGCTATAAACAAGTGAAATATCAAAGATGCATATTAATACGTTCCCAAGCAACAAATATAAAAGTGAAACAGAGAATTGAAGAAGAAAATAGACTTTGATCCTGTATTAATGACAAAAGAAGAAATACATCAAGAAGGATGACTCCTTACTTCCCTAAGCAATGCTCCTAACAGAGAAACCACTAAGTTTCCTCTACCCAAGATATCAGAAAAACAGCACACCTTCCACAAACTCACATCATTCCCTAAATAACAGAAAGATATCCCACTCTCTTTCCTCTAACTGCCAGCACCCCCTTCTTTCATGCCACATCAGCTCCTTCTCTTTTCTTCCGTGAGTACACTAACAATTTCTTAGGGAATGACTTTGTCTCATGGGCCAATGGCTCAATAGGACCAATCTGAAATTGGGCTCTATCACATATAAATTACACCATTGCTGCTACAATGTTGTTAGTTAGAAACAGTAATTCAAAATATAATACAAAGATATCAAATGCGCCAACAGACTAGATGTTCCTTTAATTGAAATATGTTTTGAAACTTCATGCAACATGGCAACAGTGGGCATACAAGCAGGCAAGAGTGACAGTTACATCATGACGGTATAAAGTACTCTTCCTGCTTCAAACATTCTAAATGGTCAAGGATCTTGTACAATTTGTGCTGTGCATTTCTTTCTTTGGTAAATACCACAGTACTACATGCTGGAAATATTGTACTTTTCCTACTTTGTAGCATAACTATCTACATCTGAGCATAACCAGCCATTGAGTATGTTCACTCAAATTTTAGAACAAGCCTATATCCATGCTATGCATCATTTAGCAGCAAGAGACTCCATCATAATTTTGTTGATAAACACTTCTAATATATTCTCTTAATCCCAATTTGCATATCAGCAAGAGTGGTATTGGCATCAGTGTTGAGGTATATCAGTAAATAAATTCACTGATCATGATGCTATAAACAAGTGAAATATCAAAGATGCATATAAATTACACCATTGCTGCTACAATGTTGTTAGTTAGAAACAGTAATTCAAAATATAATACAAAGATATCAATTGCACCAACAGACTAGATGTTCCTTTTATTGAAATATGTTTTGAAACTTCATAGCAACATGGCAACAGTGGGCATACAAGCAGGCAAGACCACAAGAGTGACGGTTCCATCATGATGGTATAAAGTACTCTTATTGCTTCAAACATTCTAAATTGTCAAGGATCTTGTACAATTTGTGCTGTGCATTTCTTTCTTTAGTGAAAACCACAGTACTACATGCTTGAAATATTGTACTTTTCCTACTTTTTAGCATAACTATCTACATCTGAGCATAACGAGCCATTGAGTATGTTCACTCAAATTTTAGAACAAGCCTATATCCATGCTATGCATCATTTAGCAGCAAGAGACTCCATCATAATTTTGTTGATAAACACTTCTAATATATTCTCTTAATCCCAATTTGCATATCAGCATCTTGCTTTTATGTTGGGAGTTACATCAACAACTATGATCAGGAATGAACATGGAGCAAAACCTACAAAAGCCAACTAAGTCTGCACTAAACAGAAAATGTAGAAGACAAGAACACAGAAAACAGAAAGTGGAGAGACAACATAGATGTTACTCAAGTGCATGATTCCAAACTATCCAGAGAATAATACATCACAAGGGATACTCCTAATAGCAATTTTAACACCCCTCACGAATACAACCTTGTGAGTTACAAAGTCGTTTGTCTCTATAAATTATAACCATTTCCTTCTTCAAGAACAAGGAGGTTGAAGCAATATTTAGGGGAAAAAATCTTACTCAGAGGCAACGATATACAGTCACAGTTTGAAACTTAAGGTTTAGCTTTTCCCCAAACCGAAGAAAATCAGCCAGGCAGTAGTAAAAACAAGGAGGAGGAAGCTTAAGAGTTTGTAAACTTATTATGTTGCGAATCATAAAGATATTTTGGTCATCTCTATCATTTTTGGGGCATCGGTTTCTGACGCAGTTAAGTTGTTTGTGTTGCCTAGGATTTTATCTATGCCAATTAGTGGCAGGTTATTTAATTTAGGCTTCAACTTTAGGATTGACTAATTCATTGATGCATATAATATAATCCCAAGTTTTCTAATAGAAGTACAATCAAGCAATTCCATTAAAAAACAATCTATGCTTCATAAAACCTGCTATTGAAAAGGATGAAATAAACAATGCCAACAAACTATGGAAGTAGAAGAAATAAACAAAGGTACCTGATTTATAAAATGTCTTCTAAGCGTTGATCGAGATGATATTTCGAAAATGGACCTGCGATAGGCACAAGGAAGCATCAAAAGAGCAGTTAGAGGAATGAAAAAGATTCGAATTAAAAAAAAAAAGGAAAAGAAAAAGGAACATTCATTTAGATTTTAGAGTTAGAGAGGGATAGAGGGATACCTTCGGAACATGGCAGTGTGAGAGTAGATGGTTGGTTGGTTCAGAATGAGTGATGGAGTGGAATGGATCCACTGAATGCTTCCCCGATTGCGGTGATGGTGTCCCTTGTAGCCTACAAGCTTCAACTCCAATTTTCTTTTCTTTTCTTTTTTCAAAGACGAATTGCAACCTTAATTTCTCTCTCAAACGCACAATGCCAGCAGGGGTGTTTCTGTAATCTTCACTTTTAATGCAAATTTTGCTTTATTTATAGAATAATATATATATTTTTCTTTATCAAACCTAAATGCATCCCTCACATTACATTTAACCTAGGATAACCTTTTGTTAATACATAAATTGCTAAGAAACTAAAATTATTAATTATTGATGATAAACTTCGTGAACGTTAAGACATGCTCAATAAATATGGTAAAATTCATTATTTAGAAGCTGTTTTAAGTCCAATTCCATTTTCTTTTCCTACGATTATTTAATTGTTTATTATAATTTTTTCATCTTGTAAGCTATATAATATAATCCTTTTAAATTAACACAAAAATTTATCTAAATGAATTATTTTATGATTTTGTAATAATTTTTTATTTAATATATCGTATAATGTATATAATGGAACATTAATCAACAACTTCACTACTTCAATAGCCGATTCGATCTAAAAAACATTAATATTTATTGGTATAGTAATAAAATGGTTTAACATTAAATTAAAATTAGTTTGGAACTAAATTAAAAAAAATTCAATATCATGTTTTTTTAATTAAATGGAACATAATGTTTTATTAACTGTCTTTTTATAAATTACTTCTGAGCAATTTTTATAATTTTATTAATTTAAATTTTTTATTGAAAATATAAATTTTTAAGAATTTAATTTAAATATATTAATAGTATAATATTTTTAGAATTAATGAAATTATAAATTATTATATTAATGAAAATATTAAATTTTATAATATTAATATAAAAATTCATATTAGAGATCATTCTAATTAAATTATCAAAGTTAGTCTCATAAATTAATATGACGAATATCGATACTCTCATTAGAATGACCGAACTGCCACACTGGGTACTTTAGGGGGGAAAAACGAAGAAAATATATAAACCTAAATGTCAAATGTAAAAGGGAAAGCAGGGAGTATTAAGAACAGAACAGCGAGCAAGATACCGTAGCTGTGAACGATTTCAGGTTCGTCCGCTTTCGCAGAAAATGGGTAATAACAGACAAAGGAAATTCAGAACTCATCGCGCTCAATCAAGTCGACGCCACCAACACTCACTGTAACTTTTTTCCCAACACTATCAACTCTTTCGATTTTAGTTTTGTTTTTCTTTTGATTTCCTATTTACGCTATGTAATTCTACTTCAGAGAGGACGATTCTCAAAGCTCTGTTACAGGTGCTCCTCGATTGCTCCCTCTTCTCTTCAATTTCCTTACATGTTTCATACTTATTTTTTTTTCTCTGCATCATCCTGTTTCTAACTGCAGAAGCTGGTGAGGGTGAAGAGGAGGTGGAGCTCACGGAACCTAAAATAAAGCTTGCAATGTGGGTATGCATATAATCCTTTTAATATTTTTAATTTAACTGGGATTTATTGCTATCCATTATTTATTATTTGTCATTGGGGAAAAAAAAAAAAAGATATTGACGAAGGCTAGTGCATTTTTATTTTTATTTTTCGCAAAATATTTGAATTTCTGTGTAAACTCAAAACGCTTCAATGTTTGTTTGAATGGGAACATGGTACACATCAGAGGGTGATACTGATGACTTTATGCAATTATAAATGTCATCACTGAATTCAGATATAAGATTTGCATGCCATGTAATGTAATTTTGTATTTTGGATGTAATTGGTTTCTGCTGATGTTTACTCAGGATTTCGGGCAATGCGATGCCAAACGTTGCACAGGACGCAAGCTTTCCAGACTGGGCTTGCTAAAAGTAAATATTTGTTCTCTTTTTTCTTTATTCTCTGATTACTTTTTGCATATAATCAGGCATATATACATATATTTACATATATAAGCATAAACATAAATATATAAGTATGCATGCATATATCTTGTATCTGAGTTAATTAGATGTTAACTGTTAAGTGTCATTGTCATGATTTGGTTAGCTTTTTCATTGGCACTTAAAATAATTGACAATTTATAAAAGGATAATTCTCAAATCAAAGGCAAAACGATTATAAATGCTAGGGGTGGCAGAAAAGTTGTTGCTTGAAGTTAGTTGCATAATGTTGGAAGATCATATTAGATATTGAATCCCTGTATTTGGCACTTTATTTGAAGTTCTTTTGATGGACATATCCTGGTATATCTGAAAGCTCCAAATGGAATATTGCACTAGAGATTCTTGAAAGGATCAAGGTGATATAGTAAAAGAGGAAGACCATATCATGATTGAAATATAGAAGCATTTCCTAAAATATAACTTCACTAAGATGAACTATCCTTTTAGAATTCTGACTTTAAAATAGGGAGAAACATTGATGGCAAAAAAACTTGAAAGAGAAGTTTTTTCTTAAATTACTGAGTGAGTAGAGATCTAGAATTTTTTTCATAATGCCCCAAGTACGTTGATCTGTGGTAATTACCTGCCTTATTGGTCCATCAAAATATCCAAGCATCTGCGGACGAAACTTAAATAAACTGAATAAGAACCATTTGATCATATTCTTATTGTTGCTTAATTCTTGTAAGACTAACAATTAAAGTTAATGAATGGTGAGGGTATGAAGTCTTACACTGGTGTAAGCCAATTCTTCTGTGTGTGTGTGTGCATATTTTGTAAACAAAAAAAAAAAAAACACACTGCATTAGCTCCACATTGTTATGGTTGATGCAGTACTCTGAAGGTATAATTCCATTATTTAAAAATGGTTAATATGTCAATAATCTTGATTTGTTTGGTTTTATACAGGAGTTACGTGTGAGTAATGGTTTTGGGGGCATTGTTTTAAGGTACTTGGTTGGAAACTATCTTTCTTCACACTTTATGTCTGAAGAATATGTTACTTTTTCCTGAATACGGTTTTACCTTGATATTACATAACATTTCAACTGGTTCAAGAATTTTATCAACTAGTTATTTGGGCATGGATTAGAACTGTAGGAAATGCTCTTGGGTTCTGCCTCTATTAGTCGTGTGGTTATTAACCTATCTTTTCCTTTCCATATAATTTGCTTTGTCAAAGTTGCCGCTGCCCTAAATTTAGTATTTAGTTATTGTGCTTTTGTCAGATAATAAATGATTGGAATCAATCATTGAAAGCAGTCATTTATTTTGGCTATTAGACTGGCAGAGGAGCTTGATTGAACTGTAGGAAGCTGGGTTTATCCCATATATGAGTCTTCATTAGTAGTGTTGTTAATGCACTTGTAGCAGTTATTAGTCCCTTATAACATTGCATTCTCTTTTGACTGTTAAGTAGTATATAATGCAAGCTTCTGTGTTCACCAAATAGTGATTACTGATTTATTGTAATTCTATTTTGACAGTCCTGTTGGAAATCAATGTGTGTCAAGAGAAGATCACTCTTTAATCCAAAAGAAAGGATTGGCTGTTGTGGATTGTTCATGGGCACGCTTAGATGAAGTGCCTTTCGTGAGGCTGCGCTGTACTGCTCCTCGCCTCTGTATGAACTTTGCCACTGACAAGAATATTTTAAAATTGTTTTATATTCTTCATTTTACATGCTTGTTTGTTTATACAGTGTTCAAATATATTAGTGTATGAAAACGCCCATGCTTCACTCAAGTACTATCACAGTTGTCCGTGATGCTTAAAAAATCTTTATAGTAATTTAATATTTTTGCCTTGTTTTAAGGTTGCTTCTATTGACACAGAATGTAATAATTAGTTCATAATATTTTCTTTTTATTGCAGTGCCATGGCTTGTAGCAGCAAATCCAGTAAATTATGGTCGGCCATGTCAGCTGTCTTGTGTAGAGGCATTATCTGCTGCTTTGACAATATGGTACCAAAATGGCCTTGTCTATGGTGGATGGATGGATGATATTTTTTTTTTCTTTGTTTGGCATGTTCTATAATTTATTCAACATCCTTCACCCCCCAAAAAATAAAAGAAATTGTAACTGAAGTTTGGTATCTGGAATGTTTTTATTTTGGCTCATTTGCTACTAGACTACCATTGCTAGAGATGTACATGATGGTGCTATCTCCGATGCTGTTTGTAAATGGAACCATTACAAACATTCAAATAAAAAAATTAGGTCTGAACTAATTGACTTTGCAGTTTGCAGCACGTATAATTTACTGTTAACTTGCTTTGTAGTTTATTTTGATCTGGTAAATATTAAATTTATAATATAGAAGGTTATCCGTTTTGCAATTCTATATGGTTTAGGTTCTTTGGTGTGATTTTGCAGTGGGGAAGAAGAAACAGCAAATTTATTGCTTGGCAAGTTCAAATGGGGTCACGCTTTTATGTCTCTTAATGGGTATGATATTCATTTATATGATTTTGTTAATGAGATTATTTTCACTTCTGATACTTATGAGGGCAAAAGTTTAAAACATCAACATGGCATTTATTTTTCCCCTCTCATCAAATGAGAAAAGCAACAGGGTACTCAGAGCTTCTCTTGATTTCTTTCAAACCCTGGAATTTGATTCTAAAAATATTATCCTTAACTTACAACGTAGTTGTCTCTTTGTCCTTTCTGAAGCTTATGTCATCCCTTTTAAGCTGAGTGTAATACTTAGGTGGGCATGACTTGCACATGAATACTACTATAAAACCTGTCTTTCTATGTAACCTTGAACAGATTTTTTGTAAAAAGTAATTTGGGATATCCGTTTCATCAATTATTTTAACTGTGTAAAGTGTTAGAATTGATTATGCATGTGTGAATACTTGTTAGGAGGAGGGAAAGATAGTCAGCAACAGTTAGAGTGTTAGTTAGTTAGAGGGGTTAAATATAAATTAGGAGGGTGTGAGGGAAGGGATGTCATTCTGTATTTCATCAATTGTAAACTGAGGATTAGCGCTGGGTGAAAAGGGAAACCATTTGTTGAGGGGAAAACCTTGGAGGAGAGATCTATAGCCTTTGTTCTGTTCTTTTGCAATCATGAAAAATAATCTTCTTTTCTTCCCTCTATTTTCTAATCTGGGTTTCTAACAGTACTGCTTGGCTGTGATTATTAGGATGTAAACTAGCATGTCATTTGCTGCTAATTAGTTCTTTGATTATTCTTGCCATTGATTGCATTCAAGCTATAATTAGTTCCTTGATTATTCTTGTTTCTATATAATATACTACAGTGAATTCAAGGGATTTGTAAGGAAATACAAATTCATTCTAATTGTTTTGTTTCCATGAGATACATAACTAACATGATTCCATTAATTTCATTATCAACTACATGTGACTTCATAGACTTTTCTATATTCACAACTTTCTATTAATCAAGGCAGGGAATTACTGAAGGCCTACTCCAATTGCCAAAATAGCGCTGATATTATTTCTGTTCAAAATGCATGGCTGTCTCAGGAGAGTCAGATTCGAAGGGCTCCTACTGATAATGAAGGTATGTATTGATTTAATATCTGTTTTTTGTATACATTGGAGAGCTTAACTAATTAATCTCCCATAGAGGGTAAACCTCCGTGCAATAATAATCTTGTTCCCTTAACCTGTTGTGGTCATGAGTTCTTTCTAGTCATGGAAACAGCCTTCCACCCATGGGATAAGGCTGTGTACATCTGACTCTCCAGATCACATAGTAGTAGAAGCCTTATGTAATGAAGTGCCTTTATTGAGACTTGAATTTAATATTTAATTTTTCTGGCTGTTTTTATCTTTTTCATGTGGGTTGCTGCTTTGGCACGACTGTAAGGTTACTTGGGTTGTGACTTGAGCTGTACTTTTTGGAAACAGCCTCTCTGGTTGTGGCAGCCTTGTACATTAGGCACTAGGCTGCCTTTCTTTTACCTTCCGCTTCAGTTTGGCAGTTTTTCTTAGCCTTTTACTCTTATTTGTTTAACATACTCTAGTATCTGTGTATTTAGCAAGGAAGGTATGCCGTGGATCTACTTTGGTTGATCCAAATGTGAGAACTAATGGTATCGCTAATGCATACATGTCCCCTGTGGTCTTAACCTTTTACTCCTCCATTATCTCTCATTTTTCTGAATTTTGTTCTGTACGGGTGTTGCATAATATCAACTTTTTAAAGGCAGATTGAGCAGAAAGCTATATCTTGTCAGTTGTCAATGTGTAGTTATTATTGGTTCTTCAAAAGTGGCACATAAAGCCATGAATATGCTTCAGATTTGTTTTAAGTATACTTCAGGTGCTGAATTTTATTGTGTCACAAAGAAAAGATTGTTACTTATATATACCTCTAATATATTGAGAATTTATCCTAACATGTTTTTCTATTTTCTACTGTTGCATGAACAGTTGCGACACTTGAAAGTGAGGATAAAATTCAAAACTCTTCCGATTCTGAAGATGGGCTTCCGCCTCTTGAAAAGAACATGAATCATTTGCACATAGTCAATAGCGATGAGGAGAGTGAGTAAACGAGTCTTAAATATCTAGCGCAAGATATTTTCTCAAGCCAAAGTAATTTGGAGATGTTAGTAATGCATAATTGCTTAGTGGCAAAGCTTTTTCGGTTAACAAAGATGTGTATTATTATCATCGGGTGGCGCATAGTTCCTAATTCTATCTTCTATTTCCATTTATAAAATATTTAAATAGGAACACGTTATCGAGTTTTAGCAGGTAGTAAGGTATACATTTTCTCATTAGGTTCTGAATGTGTGATTTTTCATCATCGTAGTTTCTAGTGTGCAGGCTGCAAGAGTTCTATCCTGCTGCTCTAAATTTTACAACAGAAATAAAAATTGAAAATACATTAGTATTTAAATTACACGATAAATATTCAAATTATAGATAAATAGATGAAAACCTTATGTCAAAGTATATTATTAATATATAAATGATGGGCAAATATATACGTTGCATGTGGTTGAAATGTGTACAAGAAATTGTACAGTAAAATTTCACTTTCCCATGAACAAACTAATGCTATTGGAAAATGTTTTAAACACTGAATCAGAAAGTTCTATTGGTTTTACAACCTAAATTTAGAGGAAAAGAATGAGAAAAATGGGATATATCCTGTATAACTTACAAAACAATTATAATGACATTTTTTAATATACTTTGAGTGCGCCTCTTTATTACACAATTATAACTATGAACATTAATATTGCTTACTCACCCATAGGAGTTAAAAATATATTCTTCACTGCTAAAAGGACTTAAATTATGAATTATTCCCCTCTAATTTAAATATAATTTATCTTATTAAAATTAAAAATAGTATTTACAATAAGATCAAAAATTTATTTGAGAACATTAAATTTAATTTTATCTCAATTTTAGTGAGTATTTTATCAAAACAAGTAAGATTAATTAAATACTTAAGAATAACAAAATTGGCACACTAAGCTAAGTAAAAAACCACGAATCCAAAAATCACGCTAGAATTTAATTTTTAATCTATTTTTAATAATTCAAAACAAACCTTTATTAATAATATCCTTGTTAACCAGGATTTGCCTTAATTATTTCAGAAGATAAATAATTCATTTTAGATGAATTAATAATATTTTGTTTATAAAAAGTTAAATAAAAAACTTATACCATTTTAATATAATCTATTATTTTCTTTTATTTATCTCGAAAGGTAACATAGACAAAATCTATTTGTAAACTTCCATCAATCTTAGAAAGTAGGGAAACTGGAATCGGAGGTCCAGTATCTAGCGAGGAATACAAAGCAATAATTCAGACTCGGAATCTACCTAGTATTCACGGTGGATGAAATGAAAATGCAGCAAAATCACATTTAGAAGTCGAAATAGGCTTAGCAACCACAAAAAGAACAGAAGTACTATGACATAATCGTATGTCTACACGGTAATGTAGCACAAAACAATCATTATTCAAAGATACAATTGGTCGTTTTTTCTCTTGATAGGTTTATTTCATTTTCAACAAAAACAAAATAGTAGTAGTTACTAGTTACTAGCTATTGTTGAGAAAGAACATCATGCATGACTATTGAGCTCCTTAAGAGCTTGGAAGACTCTAGAGCTTGTATCAAATATGTGAGCCCTTCGGTTGTAATCCATAGGGTGTTTTCCCACATCCTCACCCATAATTGCCTCCATCTCCAAACACACCAACATCTCAACCACACCCTTTTCTTCTCCACACTTATGCCTAAACCTTTCATCTTTTTGGGTCTTCATTTCAGCTTCAACCTCTCTCTCCAACTCTTCCACCGAACTCCACCTTCCACTTTCTACCACAAACCCATTATTATCCTTTCTCTGATGAACCAAACACGAAGCATGGCTTGACCAAAAACTCTTGTCCACCTTGAAGCCCAAGTTCCTCACCTTGCCCACGTTCACATAACAACTCAAATTGGCTTTGCTAAAAGGAAGACAGGAGTTGAGCTTGTAGTGTGTATTAACAAGGCACGGAAGACCCTTCATTTTTGGCTACGAAGCCTTGGTTTTCAATTTCTACTGGCTTGTGTTGTGTTATATGTTTGTGTTGGTGTTCAATTTCTGTTATTGATTGATGTCATGTGACCAACTTGGCCATTAAGATACCTAACCTGAAACCAAAAATAATATATCGATAAAAAAAACAAATTTATAATGTATGGTTTCAGGTTTCAGGTTTCAGGTTATGTATCTTTTGGGAAGCAATGGCGTAGAGGACACGCGTTTCAAAGTGCCTAAATTCTATGAACATTTTATCCGCACGTGCCAGAATGGTCAAAACATTTTACCAATGGGTGTGAAAACTGAAAATTTGAGGCGTGTATGACGGTGTCACCACAACACACGAACAAATTAGATACGCATCCGAGAAAATGTAGTCCTTGCGACTTGCAAGGCAAAACCTTCCAAATTACGGCATTCATTCATCATATTTGACCATATGCCACATCGTTTTCATTTACAAGAATAAGGGAAAATGAGATTTATACCAACAGGGGCTAAGGCCCAAGAGCAAACAAATTACAAACCTTTCTTAGGGTTCCAAATATTTAAAATATCCATATTTAACAAATAACAAATATTAAAGTGAATCTTATTAAAACATGTAAAAAAACACCACATCTTAAGACTTAATTTTGTAAGTCTAATGACACTTTAATGGATCTCTCTACAAACATTACTAAATCTAATAAAATTAACACTTTTAAGTGAAAGTCTAATATCCTAAACTAGAGAATATAAGTGATGATTATAATTTTGAATTGTTAAAATTAAAAATATAACTTCTTTGAAATTACTTTCAATCCAAATGAATGAAATGTTTTTTATCTATAACTCAGCAACAAGAACGGAGTAGACATCCAAACTATTGTAGAAACTAGCAACCAAATGTCCTTTGAAATCTCAAATAAGACTTCCACAATCAGCTGCATAATGATTGTAAGAACTAGAGTCATGATCATTAATCTTTAACTCTTGAGAAGGAGGAGGAACACTTAATTAAACAAAGGATATAAGTAATGTTAGACATAACCAATGATTTTTTCCTGCAACATATTTTAAAATAATCAAAATTAGAGAAATTTTTGTGAATAAGGGCATCAAATCGGGAGGAAGAATTCTAGAAAAAAGCAACATTCCTATTATTCCACATATTTCAAATAACTTATTCCAATCATGATATTTATTATTAGTATATTTTGATAGATTGTAAACCAATCAATCAAATATGTCAGAGCTAAAGAAATAAACTCAATTAGAAAATAAAATAAAATGTTCCTTATCAGAGCAAAACAACATATACAGAAGACATAAATTATAGTTTTAAGGTTTTTTTTTCACGTATAAAGAGATAGAGTAACTAGACATACCTTTCTTATTCCTTCTGCATTAGTTATCAACTTATTATGAGAAATCTTTCACTAGAATAAAATAACCTTAGTAGGAGCATTTCAATTCTAAATTAATTTAAAGAGATTACACCATCCAACAAAAGTAGAATTATAATTAAAAATTAACTTATAGGCAGATTTTATGAAAAAAAAATATCATTATCAATATTGTTTCAGTAAACTAAATCACGTTCTCCAAAATTATTAGAGGAAGAAATATAAAAAATAAGATTACAAATCATGTTTCAAACACCAACTTATTTTAAGCTTTACTGTATAATATACCAAATTAGTTCATTTTTAAGTAGTGAGAATTTTTATGCATTATATAAATGTATTTAGATTTAAGACAAAATATAAGTTGAAAATGGAAAACATTTAATAAAAGCATGTAAAATTATATATATATATATATATATATATATATATATAATGAATTAATATAAATTTTTTAAAGAATAAGTAAAAAAAACTTAGAATTATATATAAAAATACATACATAATTCATTTAATGATTTTAAACATGAAACTTGAAAAAAAAAGTGAGTTGGATATAATTTTAAAGAAAGAGTAGATTTGTGTGGGTAAAAGAATATATAAAAATTTGACAAAATAAATTGGATATATTTTAAATGGAATTGGTATAAAAAGTTGTAAAAATCGAAAAGAAAGAAAATACAAGGACAATTGATTATGTTCTAATACAAGAGGAAATGATAGTTTAAAATAGAAGTATGAAACACTATATCAGGAAAAACATAATATACATAATAAATAACATCTTTATTTCGAAGGTTATTTAAATTGTTTTCAAGAAATGAAGGTTTTAATATTGTTGAATGTTATAACATTCAAATTAAATGGTGAAATATGGTTTAAATTGAAGTAATAAAAACTAATATTAAATTAGAAATTCACATATCATGTTAAATGTTTTTAAAATTTATTTTATAGACAACATTGATTTTTTTATGAATAATTTTTTTATCTAAAATCAAAATATTTCACATTTTTTAAATTCATAAACAACACCATATAATTAGTCAGAGATAAAAATTGAACTTTGTAAAAAAAAAAATCACATGATAAAGTGTTTATTCTTTAACTCTTATTAATAATTATTGTAAAAAAATTAAAAATTTATTTTTTTAAAATTTAAATGATGATTTAGAATAAGAAACCAAACTCATTTTAATAATGAAAATATAAAGCTTGTTTATTTCTATTTTGATTTTTAATGAGGGTAATCCAATCTCTTAACCTACGTGCCTCGGTGCACTTGTTTGAATGTAACTGAATTTGATGTACTTTAGCAATCTCATATGGGTCAGCCTCTGCTTCTGCTTGTTTGTTATAATGATAAAGGGCCTTATCTGTAACTCCTAATCTGAAGGCAAGAACAAAGTAACAAATTAACAAGTAGTGGCAACACTGAAAAGAAAGAAAAATAAACAAGTAGGAAGGAGTATTATATTCTGCAATCAATCTTTTTATTCTTGTAAAGGTTTAGCACATAGAGCTACCTCATGTTCAGGTTTCCCAATCGTAGACGAGCTCTTTGATAATGAGGCTCTATTCGAATGGCTTCTCTGCATTCAAACGCAGCTTCTAGAAGCCTTCCAAGAGCTGTTAATGATGCACTTTTGCTGCTCCTATAGGAAGCTATATCTGGGTCAATTGCAATTGCTGCTTCATAAAGAGCCAAGTCTTCTTCAAATCTTCCATTCTTATAATCCTCATTGCCCATTATCTTCAACTGCTCAGGATCCATTCTAGTAGACACAAACCCTGCGTAGAGAACTTATTTGTTTTTTGCTTCCTTTGTCCACACTTCCTCTAGTAACAAGGTCTTGCTCCATTTGCTTGGCATGGTAATCCATAACGTTGTGAGAATTGGTACTCCCTCCTTGTCTTAAGTTACCTAAATTACCAAACAACATCATGTTGCTAGACGAAGCTCGAAGGAGCGTGCTGTTTCCATTGGACTTTAGGTGATCGGTGATCATGCTTTCAAGCTCACCAGAAATGCCAATGGCTTCTTTAGGGACCCTTCTTCCATGGTTGACATAAGACTCGGCAGGGGATCCTAAGGGCGTGCCTTTTGCTGTTTCTCTGGGATGGTCCCTTTGGTGGTTTTGGTTCATAACAGGGATTGCCATGTGAGGAACCTTATAGTCAGAATGAGATTGGATGAAGTTTTTCCCAAAAAAGTTGCATCTTAATAGCCACATTTCCTTCTTGTTTTCAGGTGTGTTTGATGCCTTTACTAAAATATTGTCGGGAGCAAAACGCAAGAAAATTGTATTTATAAAGCCACAACCACATTTTGTGTGTCGAGGTTTTTCCCATTTTTCTAATGTTTTGTTTCTCCTTTTGCTTATTATGAAGGATGCTTCATTCTAGGATGATGACGAATGATTTCTAATTCCTAAGCTTAATGAGATAAGATTGATTGCTGGCTGGTTAAATATTTTGGTCTATTACAAGTCCAAAAATGAAAATTCAAGGAATATGAAGATTCCATAAAATGAATTTAAACATGTCCAACCAAACCTTGTGAAATCGAACATTGAAACACAACAATTTGGAACCTGGGGAGAGTGAAAGTGTCACGGTTGAAGCTCCTGTGATACAAAATTTGTTCCTTTTATTTTGCTTGTATTGTGAAAAGGTCAGATTAAATTGCATCATCAAGAGAGCACAATGCGAATATACAATTCAGTTTGGTTGAAAAACGAAAATGCAATAGTTAGCTATAATATTTTTGTTCTACTTTTTTTTCTTTTTCATTCAGTTGCTTGTTTGATTATAACAGGAACCCAGAGAGTCATTCATGGGTGGATAAGGATATGTACAATTGTAAAAATGACGATACTTCCTTACATGCCCTCTTCGTTTTACTTGTTTGTGTTCTCGTTATAATCAAACAAGCAACTGAATGAAAAAGAAAAAAAAATAGAATAAAAATATTACAGCCAGCTATCGCATTTTCATTTTTCAACCAATCTGATTGTGTATTCGCATTGTGCTCTTTTGATGATGCAATTTCATCTGACCTCTTCACAATACAAATAAAATGAAAGGAACAAATTTTGTATCACAAGAGCCTCAACCATGACACGTTACAACATGAAATAAAAACAAGGTGGTTGTGATAATGTCCATTATATAAAACTTCCATCCAATATGCCACCCAAAAAATACCCACGAAACTCCAAACTCGAAACGAAGCTCAAATTGCCATTATATTTTTCCGTGTTAGTCTAATTGAAAATAAAGCAACGTTAAATCCAATCCTCCAATGTCAAAGTTACTTAGTCGTAAGTAAATTATTTTGTGATCATGCCAGAGATCAATAGATGCATGGATTGAAGAAGTAATATCAGGCTGCATTCGGTAGCCTATAGCATCAAGATGGGTTTTTGTTTAGCTCTTTCCATATCTCTTCTGACAACTCCTCTGCATTATACTCGACTCCAAAGCATCTCATCACCTCCATTTTAGGGTTCAACAAATACCTAATTTTTTTAACACAGCTTAAGTGAAACCATACAAAACTATAGAACAATGGATGAGGGTAGAAAATAAAGGCTTACATGTTGTGGGAACAATCAACAAGATAATCATTGCCATCCTCTTCTACCTTTTTAAAATAAACACGATATTCTTGTGCCATTTGCCTGACAGCAGCAACAGGTCCAGTTAATCCAATGATTCGCGAGTCAAACTCTACAGCACACCAGAGGAAGAGAGAGACAAGGAAAGTTAATGGGGTAAATTCATTGAGGAGAGGGTAAGGGTATAACATAAAGCGACCAAAGCCAAAAGTTCCAAAAATAAAAATTATGACAGTTTTCCAACCGAGACAATCTAACCTTTAAGGTATGCACGAAGTTGTGAGGGAGTATCACGTTGAGGATCAATAGTAACAAATACTGGTAAGATATTAAGATTCTGTTTTGATTCTTGACCCAAATAAAATACATAATGTTAAGGTTAACCCAGGAAAAGAAACTTGTAAAACAGTAAGCTGAGCTTGAACATTGAAGTGGCAAACCTAATATATCAATTGCCTTGGCCATAATTTGGACTTGCTCAGGCCCGAGATCAGGGGAAGAGGTATATCCAAAGTATAGAAGGACCCAATTCCCAAGAAAATTACGCTCTGTAATTGTTTGTCTCTCTGTATTAATTAGTGTAAATGGACCCCCAATAATGGGTCCATTGACAACATTTACACCGCGGCCACTACCCAGATGACCTGATCCAAGAAACAAAGCAATTAGGACATGAAAATTAAACATCCTTCCAAACTTATATTGGGATCACATTTATGTAATCTGATAACTTGCTAAGATTTGATTCCTAAAACTGGAAATTCTGAACTTCAAAATGAAAATGGAAACCATTTTACCCAGAAGTCACAAGTGATTCCAAATAATTCTGGATCAGAACAAAGACAAAATTCATTAGATTATGTATGATTCTTTCAAAGTCTAGGTCTGATCCTCTCAACTGAGTGCTTTACATTTGCAAGTCAAGGATCAAATTTAGGCAATAAAACTCCAACCAAGTCATAAAGCAATGGAATTTGGACCTATCCCTAGCTCCAGTTTCAAGTCCCAACAAGTGCTTACTTTGTAAAAAGAAGACCCATGAAAAGAAAAGGAAGATAAAATTTAATAAAACAAAAGCAGATCTGCAAAAGGAAGTATCAAGTTAACAAATTAAGATGTCATGAACTCTTCTTCATGAAATCTCACAGCAAAAATGTAACAGACTAAGATATGCACCTTCCATTCTACTGTAATGATTTCTTCCCGACAATATATAATATACTGTCAACAAAGCATAAGTATCTCACTGAAAACTGGCTAATGGATATGAAGAACAAATAGAAACATTTTATTTTTGAGACATAAATTTGAAGTTAAATAGAAGGAAACCAAGTACCTAGTCATATCTTTTTGACTAGAAAAACTAAGCAAAGATGCTCCCCAAATGTGTGTTCAAACAAGTAATCATCAAATGGCACTAAAGTGACTAGGGTAGATTTGGCACATTATCATGATCCAAAAACTCAATGCCAAATAACCAGGTGAAAAAATGAGCAACAGAATCATAGCTGGACATTCACTCAGAATTGTTACCACTCAATGTACTTATTGCAAAGTATTACTTTCCATCTGTTTGGCTAGTTTGTAAATTGTATAAATGGATTTAAGAACAATGGTATCATATTTTAAAAATTAATTCTAATAATAATAAACGAACTCCACCAGATCACGGATACTCTAAGACCCTACCTTCAATTTTATCGATACCAAAAAAAAAAAAAAAAAACAACTGTCACCAAATATTTGAACTTAAAACTCTTGAAAGCAGATCAATCAAGAATACTAAATTGCAATTACCTTTTGGAACTGCTCTCCTTTCATCATTGTAGTGAAAAAAAGCTGCAAGCCCAGCAAATCCTAGAACAACAGCTGGCTGAAGGAAAATAAGAAAAACACAGAGAACTCAATCCACTTGAAACAACTAAACAACTATGCAGTTGTTACACAACAATGCAAGAATTATAGAAACACACACAGACAAAGATATGAGTAAGGGATCATACAGCAACATAAGTACCCCATGAGCGAGAATCTTGAGAGGTTGAGCTCGATTCCGCAGGTAGCACATCATGTCTTGTTTTACCGTGTCTCGTGAATTTTGTATATCTAACAGATTGAGTTGTGTTGGAGGGAACACGTCTATGGCAAAAGCAAGTACTATCACAAATTAATAATTATTTCAATGTTGTTTAGAGAAATTAACTAATAAAATCCCAAAATTAAAACTCGAAAAATAAAAATTAAAGAGGATTTTGAAGAGTAACCTGAAAAGAAGAGTGAGGGTCTCTCCAACGGAGCGATGTTGGGATGAAAAGAGCATAAACCTTGGAATGGGCATCACTATTGGCTATTGGCTATGGCTAACACTGTTGAAATGGTAGAGAGGGATATTGGTACCCATCTCATGCGCCTTACTCTCCAAGCTTAATCTTTCAGTTACCCTGGTTTCTCAATATTTTATTTTATTTCTCTTTTTTGGGCCTTGTTTGAATGGATCCAACTGCTCTGTCATACTCATATATAGCTCACTCTTCAGCAACAAAAAATATGGTATTGGTCAAATACTTTTTATTAATTTTTTTTATTAGACCAAGTTAAGCAATGTGATTGAAACCCTTTTTTTAGGGAAATAATTATAATTAAATGGGAGTTGTGTCGATTTTTTGCAGATTAATCAACAAATAGTAGTTGGTTGGATTGGCTTGGAACTATGTTTACAGTAACAAAAAAGGTGTTTGATTATAATACTATCATTTCTGGTTAACCCTGTTTTTAAAATTAGTTGGTTTAAACAAATAACTTAATAATTAGATTATATAAATGGTATGTATATTTTCATATTTTTAGGTTCTTTCTTCTTTATGTATACTAGTAAATATATCTGTGTTGAACAGATTTGTATATATATATATATATATATATATATATATATATATATATATATATATATATATATAATTTAGTTTTAAAATAATTATCTTTAGTATAATAGAAACATAAAAAATATTAAATAGAAAATTTGATTTTTAAAAAAAAAAATTATCTATAAAAAAAATAAATATAATATTTAAAAAAATCACTGATAAATGATTCAAACTATTATCTTTAAATCTACCTTTTCACGTAATATTTTAAAAAGCATTAAAATAGTAGGTGCTATTTTAGATTAATATCATTTCAAACAAACAATATATATTTTTTCTTATAAAAATTAAATAATATACAATTTTTTCTCACTTTTAAATAATTTATATTTCTCTATATAGCTCTCATGTACTATTTAATTGTATTACAATATTAAAATTATTTGATTATCTATGTTACATTTTAAAATGTAACATGCATAATTTTTATACATTAAAATCATTTATTAATTTCTAATAATAAATCATTAATATTAAATTAAAAATTACCTTAAACGTTGCATTTTTGAATATATCAAAACTGCAAATTAAAAATATATGCATTTAACTAATTTGAATTAAACTATTAATATTTATTATTGCAAGAATAAATGTATTAATATGTTAATATTAATGTAGTTGTAAAGGCAAATTCCCCTCCCTTAAATGTTGTACCTTTCAAATATATCAAATTACAAATTAAAGATAAATGCATTTAACTGATTTGAATTAAACTATTAATATTTATTATTACATTAATATGTTAATATTAATGTAGTTGTAAAGGTAAATTTTCCCCCCTTAAATGTTGAACCTTTAGAATATATCAAAATTGCAAATTAAAGATAGATGTATTTAACTGATTTGAATTAAACTATTAATATTCATTATAGCAAGAATAAATATATTAATAGGTTAATATTAATGCAGTTGTTAAGGCAAACTTTTCTTCAAAATTCATCTACTTTTATATATACTAGTAAGGTTACTTCAACAAAAACTATTTGAGGATCTTAACATAATTTAAATAATAATCAACATTTAAACTAATATTTTTTAAAATATTATTACTCATTTGAAGTTAATTCATTTACTACCTTTGTAATATTAATTATTTGCTCATCTTCAACATTACTCATGGTTAAGCCAATACCTTCATTCAAAGTCTCCATGCATCAAACATAATACAAAAATATTTTGTAGAGATTTGACTGTAAGTAAATTTATCAATTGAAATGGAATTTAAATTTGAAGACGATTAAAATTCAAAACAAATTATAACTTTCAAATTATTAGCAATTTAAGTTGACAAAATATCCTCTTAATCTTCTAAGTTACTGTCATCATCATTCCACTAATATACAAGATTTAGTTGTTTTATTTTGAAAACAAAATTTGACACCTTAATTTTAATCATTAATAATTTTAAAAATATACTTTAATACCATGCAATGACTTAAACTGGTCAATTAGATCAATACTATTAACAAGTCTCTTAACATTATATGAAACCCAATTAGCATCTAAATTTGCTTGAGTAATTTTAACTTTAAATATAAAGAACTTAAATAACATTGCATCAATCTCAAGAGAAAATTCATTACTCACATTTGCTTATAAGAGCAGGAAACTATTTTAAAAATATTATAGATTAAAACAAATATAAAAAATTAAATGAAACCAATATCAACACAATCCACCTCAATCATCTCTGTTTTCAATTGATTTACAAACTTTCAATTAACTGCGATAACGAAATTTCAAATACTGTAAGCGAAACAGATTCAGTGAAATTCATAACATTAACATGCAACTTAAACTTAGAAAAAATAATTGGTGATAAATCCACTAAAAAATTTACTAAATTAGTTTTAAATTGAATAATTTATAAGTAGTAATGTTTATACATGGAGTAGGAATGATATACCTCTGACAATTTTCACAAAAAAAATTATGTCAATTTTCTTTTAGCTTCTTGAAATACTTATTATGAGTCATATTGTCATCCCTTCTCATATTTAATTTCAATCACTTGGACAAGATCAACAGCAAATCCAATCTTTTCAAAGTGAAACTTCAAATTATGATTTTTATAGATTTTAAAAAGAATTATTTGCATTTCACTTTATTATCAATATAAAACATACATAATTTGTCTCAATTATTTCATGTATGCTCATTCTTTGAGCTTAGAGCAAATCATTTTTCATTGAAACAGAAGAGTACTTAGACATCTAACTTAATACTTGACTTATGCCTGCATCATTCTGATAAATGTATAAATTGGGTAATTTTAGGTAATGACTTAGACACTTTTCATGTTAAGTATTTGGATTTTTCAGTTAAATTTTTCCTAAACTTGAAATTTTTATAATTATTTGTATATTTGAGGAGAAGAATGCAAATTTAAGCGTTTTGATTATTTTTTGATATATTTTGCATTTGGAATCAAAAGAGAAACATCACTCAAAATTGAAGAAATTTGAAGCATTAAGCAAAAAGCATGAAGTTAAAAAAAATGAGCTTATGATGGTCTTTCCTTGCAGCTCTCGCTATAGCGAGATATTTGTTAATGTGAAGTTGTTGCTGTAACGAGAGAAGCTTCATCCAGAATGGTATAAAAATTGACTTTTGTGTTTTAGAAGGAGTTACTTTTCCATTTCATTTTTCACATAGAGAAAAGCAGCGAAGAGTGTAGGAATAGAGTGGGAACACTTAGTTTCACATGTTTCATACCGTTTGAACTTCTTTTTTTTATGCTATGGCTACAATGAGTAGCTAATACTCTTGTGGGATTGAATGTAAATCTTTAAACTTGATGTATTCTCAGCAATTTATATAAATACAGTTATCTCTTCTTTATTTTTATTGATTTGGTGATTTCAATCTGTGTTTAATGCTTGAATCTGTTTAGGTGATAGCTGATTGAGCCCAAATCTAAGCTATATCTGAAAAGGTATTGCAGATTACTCAATAACTAGTCATTCTAGGAATAGATTTTGAGTTATTGATTGTTTTTAAATCTCAATTATAATGCTGGATAGTTTGTTAACTACTTGAGAAATCAATATTTAATAAATTATCTTAGAAGTATATTTTCAAGGAATTGAGATATATGTTTTTTGTATTTTGCATCAATATCAATAAAAATGATTGTTATGTTTATTACTGAATTACTAGAATATAGAGAGAGATGAAATTCAATCCATGTTTCTTTAATTTGATTTTTATTACATTTTATATCTTTGTTTTACATTATAATTTTACTCAATTTCTATGAAAACCATAAATCAATTTTATTGTATAAACTTAATGAATTTATATTTTAACATTTAATTAATTTTAAATTACTTGCTGAGGACGATATCTCAATACTCCGCCTATTATTACTTGCAATATACCCAATACACTTGTCGTGTTTTAAGAAAAAATCTCAACACATTCACATTCATTCTATACTACAAATTGGATAACTTATAAGTCACAAAAATAGGAAATATAGTACAGAACATAATGATGCCTCTATAAATAAAAAATAATTAAAAAAACATACTTATTCTTGTAATCAATAGTCTATTTTATGTTATGATTGATATACAACTTTATCCCATCATATACATTGCCTTCATGCAGTAATTTTTCATAATGTGATATAATATCTTTCTTTATAGTACAATGAATCCTTGAATTCTGAAATAATGAGAGAAGATGAAAGAATTAAATTAAATAATAAGAAATTTTTATGCATTCCGACTAAAGAAATATAACTTCACCTTTTTATCAACCAAAATCACGTCGACTTGATTTTTATTTCTAAACTCAAAAGAAAATCACAAATGAATGATTTGAATTATTATCTTTCAATTCACCTTGTAGGTCGTATTTCAGAAAGTATTGAAACTGTAGGTGTTATTTTGGAAGAATATTATTTCAAACAAATAACATGTACGTTTCTTTGTATATACCAAATAAAATACAATTTCTTTGTCATTTTTAAAGGGTTTACATCTGTCCATATAATTATCATGCACCATGTAATTGTATTTACAATATTAAAATCATTCTACTATCCATGTTACATTTTAAAATGTAATATGCATAACCTTTCAAATATATAAACTCATATTAATTTGATCAGTTATCAGTTTCTAATAATAAAATTTAAAATAAACATTAATATTAAAATTTAAAATTTCCTTAAACATTACAAGAATAATAAATCATTAATATTAAAATTTAAAACTGCTTTCAATGTTGCACATTTTGAATATATAAACCCATATTAATTCTTATTCATTCTATTGTTGCATAACCTTTCGAATATATAAACTCATTAATCTTTATTCATTTGTTCCAGTATTATTCATTAATCAGATATTAATTATCAATTTTTAATAATAAAATTTAAAGTAAATTATTAATATTTATTATTGTAAAAATAAATGCATTAATATATTAATATTAATGCAGTTGTGAAAGAAAATTTCTCTCTAAAACTCATATTATATATATATAAAGATAAAAATAATAAATTGTGTTGCTGATAGTGTCATTCTTCTTCCTGTCAATTATTTTTCCTTATTTAAAT